AATGGGGGGAGCGGGATGAGGGCGGGGCATCTATCTGCAGCAGTTGTGTGTGTAAGGTCTGTGCGGTATGTGGGGGGAGGGCGGGGATACTTGTCCTCCAGCTGTTGACGGTTGGAGGGGTAGTTAGTATTCCGAAAAAATGCACCTGAATGAAGTTGCATTTTTCGGGAAGCGCTGGTGGGGGTGGGCCACGTCATAGATGCCGTGCATTTGACCAATCATACTGTGTACAGCTAAAAAACAATGTGGATCACAGCAATGAACAATTTTCGCTTCAGGCTGGAGAAACAGAAGGACTCAAGAGGAGCCAGCTGCAGGAGCCAGCTGCACCTTTAATTACAACTGGAAACAACTGGATGGTGTGACATGCTCTATAGAGCGGACTGTCATGAGGGTAGAAAACGGGCTCTTGTCGGGTGTGGGGGACAGAAAGGGCTTCCGAGATGATCTGCAAGGTATTGATTCCGAAAGCAAGCTTCAGTGCAGCATCTGCGAAACTGCGGCGAATGCCCGGCGTCAATGGTGGTTTCAAGCGAACACTCCTGGATCGTGAGCCCCGGCAGCATGTTGCAATCAGGCCCGACACGTATTACAAACATGCATTTGCACAGGGATAGTACTACGCTGGTGGACAAAGTGTCTCACAGCTCCCTCCCCTGGATGGTGAAGATCCGAGCTCCTTCGATGAACGGCAACAATTTACTTGCTCTGGCCGAGAAGAAACACCGTTATTATTCGTTGGCTACGTATTCTGTAGATTTTTACTCAGTTGCAACCGATTTGTTGACAAGCACAACACATTACGGAGGCGCGAAGGATCAAATATACGATACGACAACCATTGTGCTGTCCGTTTAATATATTGCGTCTCTGGTTATTCACCTAAGCAGTGTGCTGCACGTCAGAAGTTTCCACATATGAGTTGAAGTAAAACCCGACGTCCAAAACTTCTTCCACGATCACCTCTGTTGACCATTGCTCGGCTGCAAGCACGCTGTTCACTCCATATGTCCAAAAGTGATGGTCCTCGAATGCTGGGTCGTAGTTACATGCCACATATCCGCTCAGCGTTGCACGGTAAGCCACCCTCACTTTCATAGTCCCGCGTGAGGCCCGGATAGTCGAGAACACATACTCCCCGGGCTCCAGTTCAACCTGCACACCGGAACTCAATCCGACCACAATCGTCTGCGCCTCAGACCCGCCCTCCCCCCAACCGGATTCAAACGACAGGCTTGTCGACCCTCCGACGCCGCCGATGCCCTCAAATTTTACTTCGTACTTGATCGTCTGTCCACAACGTCAGCGACCCAGACTGCTCCCAACTGGATGTTACTGTGTTCCTCACCTCTTGTCTTGCGGAGACATCAAATGTGGCCGTCTGCGACGACGTATTGTTAAACGGCGTCGTCGAAACAATCACAGGTTCGACCGTTTTTTCAATCACCTCGGCACTGACCGGCTGTATCGTCGTCGTCACCTGCTGCCAGTCGTACGTTGTGTACAAATCATCCCACGGGGTCGGGCTCCGCAGATACGCGTCACTGGGCTCCCGTCCTTTGTACGCACCGACAGCTTGCTTGACCAACACCTCGCCTAGCCCGAAAGTGGCAATCTCAGTGTCCGAGATGACGTGAATCTCGCTGGCGAAGGCGGAGGCGCTGCTGGGTGTGCTATCATCTCCGGAAGCAGTGATCGAGACTTCAGTTCCCCCGTCCTGGCGGCCGGAGGTTTCGACAGGAAAAGGGGGGTGTGGAAAGGAAGAAAAAAAGGAACACAGGCTCTCTTCGAGAATCACGCGGGCAGGCTAGACGCCCGGGATAAGACTTTTAGCAAGCAAAATGCCAGCAAAACAACAAAGAAAAAACCAAAGAGCCTGCAAAGGAAAAAGGGAAAAAACTGGCGGCAAGCCTCTAAAACTTGAGTGTCTTGGGCTTCTCCCAGGTGAAGTCGGGGTCATCGCGTCCAAAGTGTCCGTAGGCGGCGGTCTTGGAGTAGATGGGGCGGAGCAGGTTGAGCTCGCGGATGATGTGCCCCGGGCGGAGATCAAAGTTGGCCTTGACGATATCGGTGATCTCGGCGTCGGACTTGGAGCCCGTGCCGTAGGTATCAACAAAGATGGAGAGCGGCTCGGCGATACCGATGCCGTACGAGACTTGGACAAGGCAGCGGTCGGCGAGGCCTGCGGCAACGACCGACTTGGCGATCCAGCGGCCTGCGTAGGCGGCGGAGCGGTCGACCTTGGTGGGGTGCTTTCTGGAGAAGGCGCCGCCGCCGTGGGCGCCCCAGCCGCCGTACGTTTCGATGCTGATCTTGCGTCTGGTGAGGCCGGCATCTCCATCCGAGCCGCCGATGACGAAGTGGCCCGACGGGTTGAGGTGGTCACCATCTACCAAGATGGTGCGGTCGTCCAGATACTTGTCCGGGATGACCTTCTTGATGACCTTCTCCATGAGGTCTGTGGCGATCCATTGGCCTACAAGTGGGAAGGTTCGGAACTCTGTGCAGGAGTACACCGTTTGGTCCCAGTATTCCAGACAACGACAACCAAGCGCGAGATCAAGGGTGGTGATTCTGGAGTCGGAATACTTGTCCTCCAGCTGTTGACAGCTGGAGGAAAAGTATTCCGACAAAAATGCAAAGTCATTCCCTGACATCAGGAATGAAATTTCTTTTTTGGGGAAGTATTGGCACCGC